TGATTTAGCAACATATAAAACCATGCAAATCATTTAGCTAAATATTAGCCTGAACTGGTAAGCAACAGTAGCTATTTTTTCCAAAATGGCAGCTATGGGGCAAAGTGTGTTGTGAGTTGTGAGGTAAATTGAGTCAGCATTTTAACTTACCCCCCCATAAGGCACTGTAGTTAAGTCTGAATTATAGAACCAGAAAATGCTTTTCATCACATTATAATCAGATATATCTTTCCACCTGTAGTCACTAATGGCCAACAAACTCTCTGTTTAGTCTGTTTTTAGAAAGGCTACAACTTTGGTGTTCAACATATTGTTTCAGAAATGCAAACAATTAAATACTGAAATTTAAACTTCATTTGGTTGGTTTTATGTTGTTAAAGTTAACTTTATGAAAAGAAATATGAAATATGTTTGTAAAAGGAACATGGCATGGGTTTTCACATGGGTTTGAATCAGATTTGGCCAGATGGTCATTTTACACCCAGACGGTGCATCTTACCCACTGACACGTCCCGGGTCAACTTACCCCTAACCCGGGGCAAACTGAGCCATGAGAACCCTATTTTTTATAAGAAGCCATATTTTTAGAACCCTTTGTCATAGATACATTCTGATCATTTAAAATGATAGGAATACTTTCATTAGGATAGGATAGATATTTTTGTATTTCTGCGTCATTTTCCCTTGAGGACCACATAAGTAAAAATTGGCTAATCTTAGCCCACTCTCCCCTATAAATATTAGACATTTATTTTAATATTTTACAGCATTAATCTATATTATATACAAATAAACAACTCATTTAGAACATTTATATTATTTTTACACTATTTATAGGCCTACTATTAATATGGTTTTAATAAAATATGATTTGTTTCTGTCACAGTTCGTAGGAGTGAAACGAGGAGAGGAGGAGATAAACTTCCAATTGAAGAGAGTTTAATAACAAACTCAAAAAGGGCAGACAAAGTAGAACAAGGTAATGACAATACACGCCGAACACACGGGAAAACACAGAGCGGATTAGCGGAATCAGCAGATCTTTAGCGGAGCGGTAACCGAACGCTTTGAGCTGGGGTGAGGGTGGGGGCTGGTGAGAGGTGCACCTCGGCCGCGGGCGGGAAAACACGGAGCGGATTAGCGGAATCAGCGGATCTTTAGCGGAGCGGTAACCGAACGCTTTGAGCTGGGGTGAGGGTGGGGGCTGGTGAGAGGTGCACCTCGGCCGATGAGGGCAAAGGGGCAGTGGCTCTAGCCACCGGGCCACCCCCCTGTGCACGGCCCTGCTGTGGAACAACCAGATGGTACTGGACAAAGACTCATTGCTGTTTTTGACCTTTACATGTTTTAATCACTGGTCTGTTCTAAATTTTGTTTGTGCTTCTCTGCCATCAATGTTTTGACAGATGTTTGCTTTCTTTGTAGTGACATGGAAATGCAGCATGATCCAGATTTGCAGTTTAAACTGGCTTATTCAGATTCAGAAAGAATTGACGCAGGCATTAAAACCCGAGCAAGAGGCCAGTGGTCCAGTAAAGTGGAGTTTATCTTAGCCGTTGCTGGCCAAATCATTGGTTTGGGAAATGTGTGGAGATTTCCATATCTGTGTTACAAGAATGGAGGAGGTTTGTATATGTTTGTATTGTATTACTGTGTGTGAGCTCTATTAAAAATTCATTTTACCATTTCATTTTTTTATTTTACCAATTCATTTTATCATTTTAATTTCATTTTCACCATTTTTTTAGGAGTGTTTTTCATTCCATATATGGTCTTTCTGTTTGCCTGCGGCATTCCGCTTTTTCTTATGGAGACTGCTTTGGGTCAGTACACCAGCCAAGGGGAAAAATTTAGACGGAAAAAAATGTATTTGGGAAAAAATAAAATGGATTTCATAGTGCCCTACGCAAAACTGGAACTGGCAATTTTAGAAAGGAATACTGAAAAGATATAAAAGATGAATTAGGAAGAATCAATAAATTATGAATAATTTATTGCAATTTGTGAATAATATGCAATCATATAACAAATTAAATAAAGAAACTGTAGTCTGATGAGTATTTAAAAATGTAATATAATGCAATTACAAATACTTAATTTTTGTAATCTAATTACATAATCCATATTATAATCAATCTTAATCTATTACTACCCAGCACTGCATGCATGCATACACACACACACACACACACACACACACACACTTTATTTATTTATTTTAAAGTAAGTAATAATTAAATTATTTAAACCTTAAAGGTCACAGAGAAGTCCTGTTAAGTAGTGAATATAAAACTTTCCAGTTATGCTCTGCTTTAATTATTTACTATGGTGCGCAAAATGTCCTTCTTTAGGGGACCATATTAAAATCTAATTTATAATAATTTAAAGTGCTAGTATAATCAGTTGAAATGCCAAATGTGTAATAATACTAAATGCAAGCATAACTTTCAAGTGTCATTATTGTTGATACATGAATTTGGAAATAAAGTTATGAGAATTACACAGAATGTATTTTGTAGGAGGCGAGTATTGAATATAACTGGAAGTGTGAATGAGCTGGGCAGTTTGAGATGGGAACTGGCTCTGTGTCTTCTGCTGGCCTGGATCATTTGCTACTTCTGTGTGTGGAAGGGAGTGAAGTCCACAGGCAAGGTGAGAACCAATTGAAAAGGCACTTTTACATTTTTTTTATCAGATATAAATTTTATATATACTGTATATATATATAAAGCTCAGTGGAGTTGTATATCTAATACAGATGACATCTGGCTGCACGTTACCTCAGTTCTCACATGGGCTGATTGTCATGGATATTGACATAGTCCAGTTGATAGTGTTTATATATATATATATATATATATATATATATATATATATATATATATATATATATATATATATATATATATATAGATTTAAATCAGGTATGCTGGATCTCAAAACGGGAGTGTCCTTGTCTTTATTTTTCAGGTTGTATATTTCACTGCTACATTTCCATATGTTATGCTGCTGGTGCTTCTGATTCGAGGTATTACGTTGCCTGGAGCCATCGATGGCATCACCTTCTACCTCTACCCAAACCCAGCACGCCTTGCAGACCCACAGGTAAACAAATCTTACGTCTCATATGAGTGGTGATGGTAGGAGACGATTAAGCATTTTTTCACTTGAGAAGACATTTGCAACTAAAGAAACGAATAGTACTTTGGTCGTTACTTTTGTTTACAATGATGTACACTCACATGACCATCAGACCAGTCAAATCAGTGGCCTAAAAAAAACTATTTCCCCTTTAACAATGGCCACAAGGTTGAGATCACACGACCAGTCTAATGTTACTCATTTAACTTGCTTACTTTGTAACTTTTTCCTTTTTCATTTTCAGTTGAGGAATAAATTAATTACAGGTTTACCAGTAATAGTCTAGTGAATACTTATTTTATGTGATGATGCATCCAGTGCCAGTATAAAGGTACAAGACTATTATTTTATCAGCCAGTGACACACAAACATACTTGGATCTTATAATAAACACAAGTTAGTAAAAATTATTTGTACAACTGATTAAGCTTTTGAAATAACTAATCACTAAATAATGATTAATCTGTGAAAACAAATCATTGGATCAATAACTTGGATGTTTCTGAGTGGAACCAGACCAGACCCTTCATGTGTCATGCATTGCTAAATACCAAATGGACTGGTTAGAACTTGCTCTCTCTTGCCTTCAGGTGTGGATGGATGCTGGAACACAAATATTTTACTCTTACGCTCTCTGCATTGGGTGCCTTACAGCTTTGGGAAGCTACAATAAATACAACAACAACTGCTACAAGTGAGCGAACCCATGTCACGAGAAACCATATTCAATTAAATTTACATTTAAATCCATAAATGTATGTTTGGAAAACCTCCGTGAAGTTGGCCCCCCGCCCAACGCAAAACGTCGGCAAAATATTCTCAATCGTTTGTGCTCCGTTTGTGCTGTAAAAAATGTATTTTGTGCTGCTTTGGTTTTTTAGATATTAAAATAATATTTATAGGTCATTCTGGGGTCACTCAGCTTCCCAACATCCTCCAAATTCCCCCCAAATAGTCTCGTTTGTTTGTGCTTCGTTTGTGCTGGTTTGTGCAGGTAAAAGTTTCGTTTGTGCTGCTTCGGTTTTTAAAATATTAGACATTGAATTATAGGCGATGACGTCACCAGCCCCCCCCACATGCTCCAAATTCACCCAAAACAGGCTCAATCGTTTGTGCTTCGTTTGTGCTGGTTTGTGCAGGTAAAAGTTTCGTTTGTGCTGCTTCGGTTTTTAAAATATTAGACATTGAATTATGTGCGATGACGTCACCAGCCCCCCCACATGCTCCAAATTCACCCAAAAAAGGCTCAATCATTTGTGCTTCGTTTGTGCCGTAAAAAAATTTGTTTGTGCTGCTTCGGTTTTTAAGATATTAAAATAATATTTAATGTTCATTTTCTGAGGTCACTCAGCCCCCCAACATACTCCAAATTCACCCCAAATAGTCTCGTTTGTTTGTGCTTCGTTTCTGCTGGTTTGTGCAGGTAAAAGTTTTGTTTGTGCTGCTTCGGTTTTATAGATATTAAAATAATATTTAATGATAATTTTGATGTCACTCAGCCCCCCCCACATGCTCCAAATTTACCCCAATAGTCTCGTTTGTTTATGCTGGTTTGTACCGGTATTTTTGTTTTTACTGTCATTTTTACCAATACAGTTGAAGTAATAAGTAATAAATTCAAACGGCAAACCAAATCACATGAAATAGTCGCAGTCACTTAATTGTTAGTAGCCATATTCGTTCAATTAGACCAATTAAACGAAAAAAAAACTAGGACTTTT